GAGAGAGAGAGAGAGAGAGAGAGAGAGAGAGAGAGAGAGAGAGAGAGAGAGGGGTGAGGGCGTGGGTGGTGGTTCCGAGCTCCTACGGGTGGCAAAACTAACAATCCGCGTGTACTAAGCACTAACATAACGTGTATAACTCTGAAAAAAACAACAAATCGCGCTCCCTCTCACTGCAGCTGATCTCATTGTATTCCTGAGTACGTAAAACTGTCGCTTTTTGCCATGCTGTATATTCTCACAATGTACAATGTCGCTAGTAACTTTAGAACACTTAAATCCCTTGAAAAATGCATGTTATTAGAAAAAAAATACGTTTTACACATGTATGTGATAGGAAAAAGGGGGGGGGGGGTACACTCCCAAAGTCCCGATTCGGCTCAAAATTATGGAATTGTTGTTGGCATTTTTAGCTTTCTCAGCCTCTCCTACCCCCAAAACCGCATTCATTCCTATACTGGGCATGTTCGTCACCACCGTTTCCTCATAAAGTCAATATTTTAATTTTCTTTATCGATCGTTTTCTCAAAACGCTATTTTTCTCTATACTTTTTTAAAATAACTCCACCATTTTGCATACAATCTTCAGGAAATTTTCACAGAATGAAGAAAATATGTAATACTAAAAATTGTCTTGTTGACTTTCTGATATACGGAATACATATTTTTGGGTTGTGTCTGGAGTGTGGATTTTCACGGATTTTTGCAAACTTGAATACGACGTCAGGAAAAAAACTCTTTAATAATGTTCTAATTCGTTTAGGAAAAAATTAACAAACAACTTTTTAGATCTTATGTTTGCTAACATACATGCAAAAAAAAAAACCCAATCAATTTCCACAAACGATAAGTGAGGTATTCATTACGTAAGACATGTCAACAAAACACAATATGGCCGCCGTATCCTTGGAAACGGCACTTGTTTCTAAAATTTGATCACAGATTTGAACCTTATTATGTGTGAAATATGATACAATTTGGTCCTCTAATAAGCCAGATAGCCTCCTGGTGTAGCTCCGCTCTTAAAGAATAAAATGTATACCTGGGACTCCGGACTTCAGAAAGTGATCGTTACACCAAAGATCATACTTCCTTAATGTGAAGTGTAGGATCTTTGGCTACACTAAGTTACAGTCGAGAACATTTTTTTTTCAACAGAATATTCTGAATCGAGGTTTTACTGAATTACTCATCCCTGTCTTACGGTTCACTCTAGACGCTAGGAACTACAGGCCATGCCACCCGAGGTGGGTCACAGCGAGAACGGTCCAACACAGCACACAATGCACATTCACAAGTGAGAGCCCCTCGTCGCGTGCTTCATTAAAAGCAAGTGTCCAGAATTACGGTAGACTAATTCTTGCTCAGCAATAAATACCTTTAAACAGGCAGCAAAAAGATTACTACTTTTTCTGACATAACAAACCAATACTTTCAGCATACTAAATAAACTTTTAATAAAAAGATGATGAACAGAGTAAAGAAGTAATATAACAAAAGGGTATTGCAGTAACTAACTTACTATTCTAAAAGGGCATATTAGCCCCTAAAATAAAGAACATGATATGAGTTATGTTGAGTAGACAAGGTTTTGCAACCATTGTAAGTATATTTCACAAGTATGAACAATAAGAAAGCAGGCAGTTACCTAGCATCTGCGTTTGTTGCCATTTTTTGTCCAAAAGTTGCCACAAAAATGGCAAAAAGTTGCCATAAAAGTTGCCATAAAAGTTGCCATTAATCTTCAAGCTTTCATCTCTCTGTGATAACGCATATAGCAATGTGTTGATAGATATAACTTAATCTAAAGTACCAGAATTTCTTGGGCTCTGTTTTAAGCATCCAGAATATCATTTGTAGCCACACAGAGTGTAAACACGTGAAAAATGCAGGTTTCACAACAGAATGAAATCAAAACTAGAATGGCACATAAACAACAAAAATTATCAAATAATGGTGTGTGTTCACCTTTCCGAAGATGGGCCGTTATTTTAAACAATAAACGAGCGTAATTCAAGAAAAAGTATAGGATATTTTTAACATGTAAATTATGGAACCACACACAAGGGCCAGTATTCGGTTTTATATTTTTTAAATGTAAGAACAACATCACATTAAATAACATTGTTCTGTATACACAGAAAAAAGAACAGCACATCAGAACAATTTTTTTTTAAAATTAACACGCCAACAAATCAAAACACAAGAAAGGGAAAACTAAAAGACAAACAGCAATGTTTAGTATGTACCTACATCCTTAGCATGAAAATATCTATACATGGACACCTTAAAATTATCAAAATACATGTCTAATATTGTTATGAAGTAGCTTTTTTGTTGAAAAATGCAAAAATCGCGGTCGCGATTCGCGGACAAAAATTGCCAAAAAATCGCGGCCGCGATTCGATTGTCGCCGCCGCGACAAACGCAGATGCAAGAGTTACAGAAGAAGTACGAGGGCTGTCCCACGGAAAACCGGAAAAGGTCCGTAAAATCAAAAATCTTTGTCCTATTATAATAAAACTGTAACACATCATACCTCAACATGTGCTTTATTTGTCAATGTAATCACCATCCCGCTGGACACATTTTTCTCATCG